CGGAGTTTGATATAAAGTACTTTTCATAGCCGTCACTCTTTTATGTTAAAAGTACTTGCTTTGAGTACAAAATATGCTTGTTGGGGCAAAATGGTTGAGACCTAACGGGATACTCAATCTGGATAGAAGCCCAACAAATAAACTGCGCTTGATAAAAACTTGGATGAGTCATTCCCATCAGTTCCCAATTCTATTGGGCAGATAGTCCTCCGGACTACTCCGCAGAGTAGAGAGGAAGCTCCTCTTCAACCTCCTTTTAGGAATCATGAGAATGGGATAGGGTGAGAAAGACGAAATAGACAAAATGAAGAGAAGTGAAAGATCATGTGTGGAATAAAATTATTATTACTACTGCCCCATCATTTGCCCAAATGATTCAAGGAAATTCGGAATCGAACCAGTGTCCTCTCGAATATTAGGTAATGGTCTAAACCTTTAGGCTGCTGGGTACTGCGCTTGTATTTATTGTGCGAAAATATTCGCAGTCGACCAAAGGATTGGTATTTTGCTATGTTGTAGTACGCGCCATGATTGGGCTCATAATATTCCTGTGTTGAGTTGATTAGCATGACAATTTTGGGCATATTTGTGAATGCTGCCAGGCTGATTAAAATATATCCTCTTTTTATCCCGTACCATATTCTATTAAACAATTTAATTTTTTTAAATGATGATTTCTTTCTTAAGTATCCTATTTTGCCCCTGTCTCCCCTAAAGTAATAGAAGAATGTGGTGAGGTGAGAAAGCGGAAAAAGGCTGATGTAATACTGAAGGAAATTTAAAAAAAAAATAATATTATTTTTACAGTNTTCTTCAACGCTAAGGATATCCACATTCACCTGGGTGATCCCCTTTTTTGACATAATGTCCCAGGCACAGGTCAGGTTTTTGTATAGGTCTTCACTCTACCTATTTATCTTAATGACTATGAACAGGTACGGAAATAGTCCTAACTGGTCAATCCATTCAATAGGATGTTCCTTTTAGTTTTATTTCTTGTAGAATTTGCAGAATTCTTCAACAAATCTATGGTACGATTTATATTTATTTATATATTATACTAATACAAATATGGATAAACAGTTCAACCGCCTTTACAACTTTTTATGGAAATGATATCTGCCCTTGTGTGAAGTCCCAAAGGAAGTAGTCTATCATCATTGTATTTTGAAGTAATCTCCTAAATGCACAAAAGTCTACAATCTAGGTCGCGGCACACTAATAGAAGAATACAGCTCAACCTTGAGTAATTCACAGAGTCCCTCATGAGCCTAAAAAGGAATAAAGTGTCTTAAAATAGTCCCTTAATTCGTGATCCTACTTATCGGATATCCTATTCTAAAAGATAGATAACGTTAAAATCGACGTCTCACTCCCTCCAGCCTGTGTGAGATGCTCTTTGACGATGGAGACCACACAAGTGAATTAAGCGTACATGACAGGAACCACATAAGTTTTATAAAGTTTAATCAGTACATATACAATTCTCCTTAAGTTCCATAGCGTTCGTCGTTATGAAATACAGATGTTATGACGCTTTACCAACATGGCTCTTAAGGATGTTTGGGAGGTACAATCGGAGACAAAGGTATCATAGGGTAAATTAATACGATCTATTAAAAAAAAAAGTATACGGTTTGAGAGAAAATTTGGAATTTGACCAAAAACTTTGAGTAAAATAAGAAGCAAAGAATAATATGGAAATTTTTTAACTGACTTTTGGCAGTGAATATGCCTTGATTTCAACCTCGAAACAAAAAAGTATTTAGTTTCAATCTCTATTAATAATGAGCGTAAAACTTTTTAATATGTTTAAATAATAATTAAAACTTTAAAATTGCATTTATTTCAGACAATTATAAATATTATCATTATATTATCAAGTAAAAACGAGATTTTCAGCTAATTTTTCATTTTTTCCTCGATAACCATTTAGTGAATTTGAACAACCTTACGCTAAAGTGATTCTTCAAGTTACTTATTATAAAAGTTTGAAATTTCCCGTAGCTTTTTTTCTGTTAATAGAAATAAATTTAACCTAATCTCCATAAAATGACGTTAAGATTACAATTTTTCAAAATTTCAATAACTTTTTAACGGTTTAATGAATCGATTTGTAATCTTTACAGAAGTTTTAGAATTGAATGAGAAACGTTCTTCCAAATTTTTGTCTCGTAGCATTTTGACATACCTCCCAAACATCCTTAAAGGGGAGATCCATATTAAATATATTATAATACCTTTTATAAATTTACACATATTTCGCTAAAGTTTTACCATCTATTTTACAGTCAAATATAATTCTATTTTCATTAGCCTTAAATAAAACACAACCACATTTATCATCATTTAATTCAAACATCTGAATTGAATTAACCTGGGACAAAATTAACATCTTTTTACAACTCACCTACGTCATTTAAACATTTCATTGCTTTAAATGGTTTTGTCATCAGCGTATATTTATAAAAGTATTTATGAGTGGCGCACCGCTTTCATAACATTATTAACTCCCACTGCAAATAGAAGCGGACCACAGTGTGATCCTTGCGGTACACCAGTTCCAAGTTACACAGGTGACTATTCTGCACCATCCACCATCACAATTGCATTTCTGTTTTCCAACTGCTGGTGGGCGGACAGTCCCTCCGGACTACGCCGGAAGATAGGGCGGAAAGTCCTCTTCAGCCTCCTTTCAGGAATCGTGCGAATGGATGGGTGGTGGTTCGGATGAGAGAGATGAGACGGGCGAAATGAAAGATTATCTGTAGAATATTAATGTCCCAGCATTTGCCTAAGTGATCCAAGGAAACCACAGAAAAACTTGGATTAAGGCAGACGGACCCGCAATCGAATCAGCGTCCTCCCGAATACTAAGCAATACTCTAAACCTCGGTCTGTTTTCAAATAAGATTCGAAACTATTTTATCAAAGATTCAAAAATCTATATTTATATCTATGTATAAAGCATTCAACAAAAAATGTTGATTGACAGTGACGAACGCCCCACCCAGATCAGTATACGTAGATCACAGCAGCTTGTAATCGCAGTACAACCGACTCATTCATGCAATTTCTAAAGCAGGATTAGTTACAGTGGATTTACTCTCCACGAAACCACGTCGACTAACTGACAATAACCCTTCTAAGTGCTACGGCACAGCATCGGTTACTGTGCTCTCAAAAATTTCGACTATTAATATAATAGTGTAACCAGTCTATAATTTGATGTCACTCATTTCATCATTTTTGACGTGACTACGTCTTATAATTCGATGGAGCCGGCTGCACGCACGAAAAAACATGACTCATGCGGCGTTACCTCGCTCTGAGGCGTTCCATTTAAGGCTTGAAGTGCAAGCGAGGGCGCGGAACGAGCGACAAAGAGGCACAATCGGCCTCCGCGTTCGGCAGCGTTCGACATCTGTCTCTCTCCTACTTGAGTGAGCGATGCGGCCGCGTGGACAGCTGCTATACAATAATACATTTCCATTTACCTCCATACAAAATATCTATCAAACAAATAAAATTAAAATTTTCTTTTGAAAAATGAAACCATTCCATCAGTATTTTCTTATGACGTTGTCACGTTCAACTTTCATGACTCTCACCTATACCGACAAGTTTGGGCACGAATGTTCAGTTAATTTTTGACAGCTGCTTTGCTTGCACGTGTTTTGGCTAGTCTTCGATTTTTGCCTATTCCAAAGATAGATCAAAGAACCTGTATCAAATTTTGTGTGAAAAACCAAATTAAGTGCGCGAACGCATTCCGAATGTTGACTGTAGCATATGGTAAAACTACCTTGGGCCGAAGCAACGTTTATTGGTGATACAAATGATAAAAATGATGCAAACCTAAGCATATCGATTGGCTCTTGCCATACGATTTTTTCCAATAATTTGGGCATGAGACGGGTTGCCGTGAAGTTCGTACCAAAATTGCTAAATTTCGACCAAGAAAACAGCATCGCATTAACATTGCTAAGGAGCTGTTGGACTTTGTCCGTAACGACCCAAATTTGTTCGAGAGGGTTTATGGTTATGACGTAGAAAACAAAACTCAATTCAGTTTTCTTCGATCGCAGGGGCTTGGTGCATCATGAGTTCTTGCCACCACAGGGTAGAATGGTCAGTAAGGAGTATTGCCTGCAAGTTATGCACCATTTGCACGAAGCAATCCGCCAGAAACGCCCGGATTTGTTCAAGAACAAAAATTGACTTTTGAATCATGATAACACCCCTGCTCACACAGTGTTGTCTGTGCGCGAATTTTTGGACAAAAACAACAGACTTATAATGCCGCAGTCACCGTTTTTCCCATTTCTGGCCCCCCTTCTGACTTTTTCTTGTTCCCAAAATTGAAGAGGCCCATGAAAGGACGACGCTATACTACGATTGAAGAGATAATAACGACATCGAAGGAGGAGCTGAACATGATCACAAAAAATGATTTTTTGAAGTGCTTTGAGGATTGAAAAAAACGTTAGTACAAGTGTATAATATCTAGTAGGCAGTACCGGATTAAGCCAGCGCGGGGCCTGTAGCAAATTCTATCAAGGGGCCCTTAGACTATCTTAGGTTAGATAGGTACTTATCGAGTTCATGGTATTAAATAAAACAAAACAGTTACAAACAAACTTTTCTTGATTTAATTTGGGCAAATTTATAAATAATGCTGTTGATATCTACTTCTCGGAGTAAATCATCATTTTGATGCAAATATTTTCTTCTTAGTAATTGTGAGTTGTCACTAAATCTGATATATCAATAATACTTTTTTATGTTCAGAAAACGCTGGTGCGCGGGGCCCCCAAATGCACGGGGCCCGCAGAATTTGCTAATCTTGCTTCGTGGCTATAAACATAAATGTGACAAACAATAACATGAATGTATGGATTACATTTTTTCTCTTTTAGTACGAACCTCTAATAATCGTATATTTTCTTTATAAAAAAAGACATCAATAGGTAATAAAAAGAAACATTTATTGTCTACTTATTTCATACAAAATACTACACTTAAAAATATATATTCAATAATTTTTAAAAATCTGTTGTAAATACGTCAACATGGTCGAAATATGCACTTGTTCCTGTAAAAATAAAACTTTAACATTTAAATTTCAAAATTTGAAATGAAAAGTATTATACCTTTAATGTGGTGTCTCTACTCCTTAAATGAGCGATCCCGTTCCTTAATGTGTTATCGTTAAGTACAACAGTGTAAGGAATGCCCATTTGGTCGTATTGTTGCCATTGAACTTCTTGAGTTACTTTAGGAGCATTTAATGTTAAAAGTGTCGAGATACATTCATTTCTAAACTGTTTACATAAGTACAATGCTAAATCGTTTAAATTATTCATGACGCCAGCATCTATAATAAATAACTAAATTCAGAATTCATACGTAATATGTTATATAGCTAATTAAACAAGAAGTAACAGTTCTGAAAAAATACAGGTAAAAGCTTAATGATTAAAATAATTCGAAGTGGTCTGTATTCTGTCGAAACTGCCAGACGCGGATCGCGATTTCGATCTTTTTGGATCTCATCAGCGCGTCGCAGGCAGCTCCGACAAAACACAGACCAACTTTTACCTGCTGTCTTAACAGTGCGTTTTAGAAAATACCACAAATGGCGCGGTAAACGCCATCTGTAATACGATGCTACATTTTAGGATTACATATGCTCCAACAAGGTCCACTTGTGTGGATATCTACTTGCCGAAAACGAATCCCGGCGTAGCCAACCTCAACATGATAAGCACGTTAGCTTAATCGAATAAAATAATTCGAAGTGGTCTGTATTCTGTCGAAACTGCCAGACGCGACGCGCTGATGAGATCCAAAATGATCGAAATCGCGATCTACAGATATTTACTCTAACTTTAGTATTTGAAATGTTTAGCAAGAGCCTTGTGAAAAAAAAACAAACTATAACATTCTTAAATAACGCCTAATTTTCAATTTTTACAAGAAACGCATTATTGGAATATGGGGTCACTTGCGGAGCGCCCTAAGTGTCAGGGGGGGTCTGGGGGACCAATTTAATTCAAACTTCTAAAAAAGTGACATGATCAAAACAGTGTTTATCGTTATCGTCGTTATTTTTTTACGGAACCAAATTTACGGTCCCTCTCAAAAATTTCAGGCCCCGCTAAACAGCTGCGTGTTTCAGCTACTTCTTATGTGGGCATTATATAGGGTTAATAATGCCCAAATAAGAGAATGCCGCAACACTTATATAATTTAATTTTATACCCTTTCAAATAAATAATAACAAAAACAAGAAAAAAGTAATTGAATTTATTGTATATTACTTACTTGTACTTAATGTGAATGCAACTTTATACGGGGCTAATTTTCGATGTATTCTCATCATGGGTCTTACTCCTTCGTGGTACGGTGGTTCCTCATATGCATCACAAATGAAATTCAAAATCATGGACGACAAATTAATATTACTAACAATAAAATGTGGGCTGATTTTCTTTCTTCCTTCTTTTAACTGTATATTTTAATTAAAATTAGAAATTTTAAAATCAATAATTTCAAAAAAAATAATTGAGAATAAATGATTATATATGAATGAATATATACGTATAGAGTAAGTTTTTTTATTTAAAGGAATGAAATATCACAATTGAGTTTCATTATTTTAAAATAATGATTTACACAAAAGTTGCATGCTTTAGGAGGAGAAAATCAGCTGATGACCTCGGATGTTGACCTTGACGTTGATCTTTGAGATCACTTTTTTTTTGTTGAAAATGCTTTACGCTCACCGGTTGCACTGAGACGACCGCTAGTGTGGACTTCAACTAGGTATATTCACTAAAAAAACCCCTATGTTATCTCGGCTGCTAACCCCCCCCAAAGGCATCACCCCCCAAAAGCATTCTTCTCCGTAGGCAGCATAATTCGAAAATTCGCTCAAAGGGAAACTTAGTCAAAACAAGATTTTGGCAGAATTAATTTTAATCTCAGATAAAAATTTGACTTTCCCTAGTAGGAGAAGAAATGAAATTTAGATGTGCTGTTTTTGTACAAGATGAGAAAGGTTATGAACATGCTGGGTGCAATCTTCCAGCTGCCGCTTATTAAACTAGGTAAACAGAGCAACGAAATAAACAGAAACCAAGACAAACAACCAATAGTATCAATGAGTTCCATATCTAGAAGGGTTCACCTTAGATTAATAAAATGAAATAAATTAATAAAACCTGTTTTCTTCTCCAAATCTCCCATTTTTCCCTACAGGTCGCCCTGTGCCTGTCCCTATTGATAAACAGTACCTCTATACCTCTGGCCCTGGCGATGAATTGGAGAAGTCTTCTCAGACTATCCCTTCTTCAACGCTAAGGATATCCACATTCACCTGGGTGATCCCCTTTTTTGACATAATGTCCCAGGCACAGGTCAGGTTTTTGTATAGGTCTTCACTCTACCTATTTATCTTAATGACTATGAACAGGTACGGTGATTCTCCCTTCTTGATATCACCCCCAATCGGACAAGGCAAAAGTACGGTCACACTTTATGGCGTACCTACATTAATTGGGTTTCTTCCTTAACAGCTTCCAATACCTTTCTGACCTCCATGTTTTGAGGCACCCCGTCCCACCGTAGCGTTAAGATAACTCTCTCCCAACGTTGGCGTGTCCTGTTTATTAATTAGTTTGCTGGTTTTACATGCCCACATTGACCAGACCTCTTCTTCGTTGAGGACCAGAAAGTCGACGTAAGATATGTCCCTCATGTTTAGGGTCTCCTCTATCTTCTGGTTCCGGAGTTCGGAGAGGATCTCCTCGTTACGAGCCTGAACCACCTTGGAGCTGGTTGCAAGTTTAACTTCCACTTCTGTTTATATACTACAATCCACAGTATTTTCTCCAGGTGACTCCATGTGTCTATTCGCCTGATGCCACTCTTTGAGTTTTTCCTTTTTGTTATTCGTTGGATTCCAAAGGTAATATCTTTTATTCCCCTTTTAACGTTAGTCAGTCGATAGATGTCAGTTTGAAAACCTTCCTTGCAACAACATTCAAATTATTGATAAGTTCGCCGATCACCGGTTTTTTTTTCCTTTTCGGCGTTGTCTTTAGTGAGTCCCCGGATTTTAAAGAATTCTCTTCCTTCTTGAGGGAGACATTTTGGGACCCTCGATTGACTCCTCAGTTTGCTTAGTGGTTTTTTCCTTATGTGAAGGAGCATCAGCTCCTCAGAGAGCCCTCCATTCATTACACGCAGCCTCCTTGTATACCCAGATAATGCTAAACCCCTTCAAACGCTGTGCGGGTGGGGGGATCTCTTGGTTTTAGCGTTCTTGCTAAAATGCAGGTGTTCCCGTATGAGCCCTGTGGTCGAGGTATCGTGAGTTCGCCTCATCGCCAGCAGAATCACGAACATGTTTTGATTTGAAACACTCGCGCGAAGAATACGCACTATCCACCCCTGACTTTGTTTTCGTATCAGGTCTTTTGCAAGTTTTCTTTTAATAGGAATATGTATATATATTCTATTCCAACAAAGAAAAGAGAGGAAAATTTTGTGATTGGAAATACCCTTAAACTTTTTAAGTTCATATTTATAAGAAATTAAAAACAATTACATATCTTGATTGAATCTCATTGCTTAGAAAGAAGTTTTAGTCACAAGTTGTATGTTTTCAAAGGTCCAATAAATACGTGATCTTGAGTGTAAACTTGACCTTAACATCAAAGTCACTTTCTTAGTGGAAATACATATTTTTATGCCCGTAATGCAAATAAAATACCTACTAAATAATTAAAAACAAATGAACTTGAAAAATAATTCCGATTTCAAATTTTCTCACATCTTCCATTCCACAAATATGCCTTCCCATTTCAAAAATATACCTAACCTCAAATGACCTCGAAGGTCAAGATCGAGGTCACATTTAATGTTTCCTTTTGAATTCCCCTTTGGCAGCAAGCAACTTTTAAAAATAGCATCACGATATTTCATTTTGTCAAAATAAGTAGCTCACCCTGTATATTGAAGTTAAAAATAAATTCGATAGAGCAATTTTTTTTATTACTCCAGTTTACCTGCAAATGATGTGGTTGTAGCCGATTATGCTCACAGGTATAAATACTCATAGATTCGACAACCTGGGAACCCCATGGGAAATCCGACTTTATCTCAACGCTTTGACGCCCGTTTTCATTTTCCTGAATGTCTGTTAAGTTATATCTCCCAGGAGACGCAGAAATCTAGATAATTAGAAATAACTAAAATTATTTCCTTTTCGATCACAATATTGCATTAAAAATATTGTACTTACAGTATTATGCAACAAAAAAAGTAAAAAGTTTACATAACTACCATACTTAATTTTGTAATATTAGGATTACATTTTTCTTCCAGTTTTTTAATAGCTTTTAATTATTTTTTAAATAAGTTTTTGTCTTTAACAAAAGTATTTACAAACGATTTATTATGAAGGTGCTATTCTTTTCGCCAAAAAAAATAACTTATTGTTAAGTGGGATTCTATCATATTGTAATTTCTAAAGTAGAAAAATATGATTATATTAAGATTAAAACAATAAAATCCACAAGTGTATGTTTGAAAGTACTTTGTTTCATTAACTTTGAGTGTGAAAACAAAGCAGAAACAAAAAGTTTTGCATTAAAACAGAACGGTATTTTGAAAATTTTTAATAAGCATTATTGTTAACATTTGATTAGAATTTAAAATTATAAAGATCCAAAAGTACCAACTTTCCTCCACCATATCTTCCTTTGTCTCTGCCATTTGTGGAAAAAAGGAATAGCATCTGATTTTGTTAAAAATGTTGTGATTCTAAAAATTGTCTCCATATTACCATAATTTAAAAGGACATTTCTAAAATCGTTTTGCTCATTTGAATTATTGATGATTATATTACTTTCAGATCTGTGCGTTTCTTTTTTTAAAAATTCAGCTATTGCAAAGGGCGCCCTTTCTGAAGACATTTGCTTTGCATATTCAAAAGTATCAACAAAAGATGGTCCACTTAGAAATACATTAAAATTTTTGCTGCCAATTACTATGTTTTGTAACCATTCATTCCGTAGATTTTCTTGAAACATGGCACCTACAGGACCTAATTTCAAATGATGTATAAAATCAGAAGTTTCATCATAGGATACAGACAGCTTTTTAAAGAAACCTTGTTTTTCGCACAATGAGATAATCTTCTTTAGAGACATTACTAGTTATTATTTCCTATTGTGTTCCTAAAATTATGCACAAACTATTTAATAGAAGCTAAATATATTTGATAATAAAGTCAGTACCCTTTCAATCTCCTTTTCGTGTAATAAATCTTCCCTTGGTTCAAGCGGTATATTCCCTGGTGGAGCAACAAAATAGTCGTCTTCAGTAACTGCAGCGTTTTCTAGTATTTTTTGTTTATTAGTTTCTATAGGTTTATCTTCTTGTCTCACTTCTAAAGGACTATTATAAAATTACAACATCAGTAAATCAATCATGCCTCTAAAAAATGAATTTACTCACAAATCTTCTAGTACAGTCACTAAAGGTTGCACTCCTTCAGTGTCAATTTGTTGAATCCTATCTGCAAAGGCAATAGCCTCTTCTAGAGTCTCTATTCCTTGTCTGTTAGCACAGTTTACTAGTGATAATCTTTCGAGAAGAGCTATCGTATCAACATCAATTTTAGTTCGTGGAGGTAGTTTCCTTGAATCAATTTTTGATTGAACTGATTTTTTGGGCACTAAGTTTTTCAATTTCTTTTGCTCGACAACCGATTGGACAACTTTTTTACTTGAATTAACACAGTAGTGTCTTCTTATTAAAAATAAAGAAAATTGTAACTTATAATAATTCATGGCAAAAATTATTATTTTTTCACTTAAAAAAGTGTTTCAAGTATATTCAGGTAAGGAAATTCCATTCTCTATTAATACGTAATCAATTAAAATTTAAATATTACTTAGCATTTTTAGGTTGAATTACTAAGGTTATGTCTTAAAAGTTAAGAATTCTAAAGTAATGTCTAAAATACCAATACGATGATGTCTATATTCACGGCTCTGGAAACTGTAAATAGTAAATATTATACCATTTATAAGAAATTAAAAACAATTACATATCTTGATTGAATCTCATTGCTTAGAAAGAAGTTTTAGTCACAAGTTGTATGTTTTCAAAGGTCCAATAAATACGTGATCTTGAGTGTAAACTTGACCTTAACATCAAAGTCACTTTCTTAGTGGAAATACATATTTTTATGCCCGTAATGCAAATAAAATACCTACTAAATAATTAAAAACAAATGAACTTGAAAAATAATTCCGATTTCAAATTTTCTCACATCTTCCATTCCACAAATATGCCTTCCCATTTCAAAAATATACCTAACCTCAAATGACCTCGAAGGTCAAGATCGAGGTCACATTTAATGTTTCCTTTTGAATTCCCCTTTGGCAGCAAGCAACTTTTAAAAATAGCATCACGATATTTCATTTTGTCAAAATAAGTAGCTCACTGTATATTGAAGTTAAAAATAAATTCGATAGAGCAATTTTTTTTATTACTCCAGTTTACCTGCAAATGATGTGGTTGTAGCCGATTATGCTCACAGGTATAAATACTCATAGATTCGACAACCTGGGAACCCCATGGGAAATCCGACTTTATCTCAACGCTTTGACGCCCGTTTTCATTTTCCTGAATGTCTGTTAAGTTATATCTCCCAGGAGACGCAGAAATCTAGATAATTAGAAATAACTAAAATTATTTCCTTTTCGATCACAATATTGCATTAAAAATATTGTACTTACAGTATTATGCAACAAAAAAAGTAAAAAGTTTACATAACTACCATACTTAATTTTGTAATATTAGGATTACATTTTTCTTCCAGTTTTTTAATAGCTTTTAATTATTTTTTAAATAAGTTTTTGTCTTTAACAAAAGTATTTACAAACGATTTATTATGAAGGTGCTATTCTTTTCGCCAAAAAAAATAACTTATTGTTAAGTGGGATTCTATCATATTGTAATTTCTAAAGTAGAAAAATATGATTATATTAAGATTAAAACAATAAAATCCACAAGTGTATGTTTGAAAGTACTTTGTTTCATTAACTTTGAGTGTGAAAACAAAGCAGAAACAAAAAGTTTTGCATTAAAACAGAACGGTATTTTGAAAATTTTTAATAAGCATTATTGTTAACATTTGATTAGAATTTAAAATTATAAAGATCCAAAAGTACCAACTTTCCTCCACCATATCTTCCTTTGTCTCTGCCATTTGTGGAAAAAAGGAATAGCATCTGATTTTGTTAAAAATGTTGTGATTCTAAAAATTGTCTCCATATTACCATAATTTAAAAGGACATTTCTAAAATCGTTTTGCTCATTTGAATTATTGATGATTATATTACTTTCAGATCTGTGCGTTTCTTTTTTTAAAAATTCAGCTATTGCAAAGGGCGCCCTTTCTGAAGACATTTGCTTTGCATATTCAAAAGTATCAACAAAAGATGGTCCACTTAGAAATACATTAAAATTTTTGCTGCCAATTACTATGTTTTGTAACCATTCATTCCGTAGATTTTCTTGAAACATGGCACCTACAGGACCTAATTTCAAATGATGTATAAAATCAGAAGTTTCATCATAGGATACAGACAGCTTTTTAAAGAAACCTTGTTTTTCGCACAATGAGATAATCTTCTTTAGAGACATTACTAGTTATTATTTCCTATTGTGTTCCTAAAATTATGCACAAACTATTTAATAGAAGCTAAATATATTTGATAATAAAGTCAGTACCCTTTCAATCTCCTTTTCGTGTAATAAATCTTCCCTTGGTTCAAGCGGTATATTCCCTGGTGGAGCAACAAAATAGTCGTCTTCAGTAACTGCAGCGTTTTCTAGTATTTTTTGTTTATTAGTTTCTATAGGTTTATCTTCTTGTCTCACTTCTAAAGGACTATTATAAAATTACAACATCAGTAAATCAATCATGCCTCTAAAAAATGAATTTACTCACAAATCTTCTAGTACAGTCACTAAAGGTTGCACTCCTTCAGTGTCAATTTGTTGAATCCTATCTGCAAAGGCAATAGCCTCTTCTAGAGTCTCTATTCCTTGTCTGTTAGCACAGTTTACTAGTGATAATCTTTCGAGAAGAGCTATCGTATCAACATCAATTTTAGTTCGTGGAGGTAGTTTCCTTGAATCAATTTTTGATTGAACTGATTTTTTGGGCACTAAGTTTTTCAATTTCTTTTGCTCGACAACCGATTGGACAACTTTTTTACTTGAATTAACACAGTAGTGTCTTCTTATTAAAAATAAAGAAAATTGTAACTTATAATAATTCATGGCAAAAATTATTATTTTTTCACTTAAAAAANATGCAGAGACCACAATACCAATAATTCATTAAAAAGCATTTTCTATATCGATTACAAAAAACCGGTGGGAAGGTTCATTTCATTACAACTTATACATACCAGCACACGATCTTGTTTTCCATATTTTTAATAAAAGAATAATTATAGCTATAACGTGAGATAAGTCACCCAACAACCTAAAAATATTCATTTTTTAATTTACAATTTCAAGCCACAACACCTGATAACATTCGCGACAGTGACGTGGCTTAACAACCAAGAGATATATAGAACACTATTCAACAACTATTTATGTACCATCCGCCATCTGTACAATGTAAAGGAAACTTATAAACAAGCAGCCCAAGATTTAAATGGATTTAACTTTGGTATATTTTTGAATTTTATTAATCCTGTTACAATTTCACATGTAGGATAAATTTTTATTCAAAATAACGTTTATGTGTAAAGGTCATTTCCACCTCGGCCCAAGTAACAACTTTTCTTTTTTAACTATGTTTATTTTATTCGTTTAATTTAAATCTTCCCAGTAACTGACCGTAGTTTTATTATATAAATTAATATTAAAGCATAATTTAACAAAATGAAATTCGCCAAAAAAATACGTTTGTTTAAGTTAAAATGTAATTACAGTATTATTTCATCAATATTTTTTAATGGATTAGATTAGGTTATGGTAACCAAACGCTTTCAATTTTTTATAAATTTTAAACATGGTCGGACCATATTGGAGACACTATCTAAATAGAAACATTACTGTATTCCCTAACCTTATTTTTTGGTCGTGTCATTAAGTGTCAAAAGACCGTAAAGTATAAGTTTTAGGCATTTTGTAGGCATTTTTCTGTTTTTACGATGTCGATTCAAGAAAAAAATGCAAAAATGTCCAAACTTCTTCGAAGTAAGGCTCAGGAATTTCTTTCTTCGCGAAAAAGTTCACATATTTTGGAAGAAATTGTTCGGCATTTTAATTCTGGCAGCGACGTAAATTCATGTTTATTGGCACTAGAATTGATATTTACAACTTTGCTTAAGGATAGACATATGAGAATTGAAATTACACCTTTCAAGCCGGTACAACATACGCCCGAAAACCAGTACAAAGAATGGTTGCAAAATACTTATGAAGAATGTTTTTCCAAAATACTTTGCTGTGCAGATCACCCTTCAAATAAAGTTCAAATACAAAGTGAGTCATTATATCTAATATGCATCTGAAATACCAACGTTATGTGTGTTATTTTTATGATAGGCTTTACTACTGCTATGAATCTACTCTCATACGAAGGAAAATTTCCCTTAGAGCAGAAAGGATGTTTAGAAAGTTATGTGCCATTAGGGAAGTTGAAAGCTACACTTTTGAAAATGCTTACAGGAAATAAGAATACATCAAATTTAATTAAAAAGTTTGAAGAATATCTAGAATATAATGATATGCTTTTCTTCACCTGGAAAGTTTTGCCATCTATAACTGCTAAATCAAATCCAAATGATATTTATATCATGAACTATCTTAATTTATTGGACAAAATGCATGTAGAAGAGAATGAATCAAAGAACTGCTTATGTTATGGCAATGAGGGTAAGTAATTTTTTTTTATTTATTAAATACTAGCTTTGACACCATAACTTTGTTGGTGTGAAAATATTTCTATTTGTTTTTAGTAAAAATCATTGTTATATTAAATAAAAATTTAAAAAGCTAGCTTGAGTAATAAGTATATCAACTAACTAAATTTTAATGCATGCAAAAAATCAACATAATACAAGTATGTATTCAATTTAGATACAATAAGCGCCAATTGATAAAAAGTGCGTTTGACAAAAAATTTAACACCAATTACAAATTATAGCACCCAACAATAAATCGGCCACAGTAAAGGTAATCAAAAAACCTAACAGAATTTAAAGGTTTATATATAATTTTAGTAGTACAATTTACATATCATAATTTATAATATCTACAATGCAAAATTATTACAGGTTTCAATTATCAAAAGAAAACAAAAAGATTAGCGAGTGAAGCTGAAAAATGACAATATATTATGTAGTCTTATGTACAGAAAAAGAACAGCCGTTTTATTGAAACATATTTCAAAGTGAGCCCAAAAAATATAACATAATGCCACTGAATCTATTACTATTCTGTGAACACACTGTAGAAACGCCCCCAAAATACCATTTTATTTATTTAAACAAACAAGGACGTTTCAAACAGAGTTCTTTGTACAGAAACCAGAAAAAATTTTCCTGCTGCATTAGCTTATTATTAAAATTGAGGTGTTAAGCAGGAAGTTGCAGTTTCTTACCCTTTAATACTTGAAACAAAAAAAATATAAATCAGTATAACTACAATAATTAGCAGCAACCTTATGATAATGCAAAATAAATTATTATGAATGTGTATTCTTACCTTTGGTAACATATAAATAAAAGAAGTCACAGTAAAGTACGGTTTGAACAATACCAGCAACTATTGCAATTAAATCATGGAAATCTTCAGTCACATAACGATAGATCCAATTTAAAATATAAAGACCACGATAACAACCCAAGGCAAACAAGTAGTGCGATGTAATACTTTCAGCTTCACCTGTCTTACTCACCATAAACAACTGAGGCAAAATAGCAACTGATTCCAGGTAAATACTATATGTCCACAATACCTACAAACACAATTACAACAATTTATTATTCCAGGGATTACTTTCTTACCTATCTCAATTAGTACTATTTAAGCAAGTTATGCTTACAAAGTTTACCTACCTCAAAAACTGTAAATTCATGATTAATTAACAGGGCCAAAATGAGTGATGGTATAATTAGAAACTCTATTCTGAAGGTATCGTGGTTCTTGTCATAAGTAGCCCTAAATTTAAAGTAAATAAGGTAAATTGTAGCAAATGATGTAGTCAGAAACATCCATTTCATCAATGTATTATATATCGACACGAAAGTCGTGAGAAGATCCAAATATCTAGTGGCAAAAACTGTAGCAAAAAGTATTTGGGACTTTCCAGAAATTCCTAAAATTTAGAAATCTCTTATGTAAGACGTAACATTTATGCAATGAACATAAAAAACTCCGACCATTTTACACTCTTGGGATAGGATAGAATTAGGTTATGTTCTAATATTTACAAAAGCCAAATCTAAAATATTTAATAATTGAATCTCATCCTAACTACAAAAAGAAAACAATGCAGAGACCACAATACCAATAATTCATTAAAAAGCATTTTCTATATCGATTACAAAAAACCGGTGGGAAGGTTCATTTCATTACAACTTATACATACCAGCACACGATCTTGTTTTCCATATTTTTAATAAAAGAATAATTATAGCTATAACGTGAGATAAGTCACCCAACAACCTAAAAANTTTAGTGGATCTTAATTAAAAATAATTATGCTGTACATAGCATTATTAGTATTTTTTTAGCCAAATATTCACTTACTTATATTCTGATTCTTGATTTTGTAGGTGATGTATTCAGTTATGATGAAAACGTCACAAAGAAATGTTTAAATAAAGTATGGAGCTGCATGGTACGTTGGGAACCTTCATCATCGACTCACAAAGAGCTTTTAGCAGTTTTACTAGAAAAAATTTTGCCTCATTTAGACAAACCACTACTTCTGACCGATTTCTTAATGGATTCCTTGGATGTAGGTGGAGCTGTCTCTCTATTAGCCCTTCAAGGTATATTTACCTTGATCCAAAAATATAATTTAGAGTATCCAAACATTTATGGTAAACTATATTCAATGTTTGAACCTGAAATCTTCCACACAAAATACAAGGCCAGATTATTCCAATTAGCTGACTTATTTTTGAGTTCCACACATCTCCCTGAGAGTCTGGTAGCTGCATTTGTCAAGAGAATGGCTAGATTGGCACTATTAGCACCTTCAGAAGATACAATTGTCATCTGTAGATTTATAGGAAATCTAATATTGAGGTAATTTTTTTTATTTTCTCGTAGTGTAGAACTTATGCGATTGTTTAGTGACACTCTCTACATTATTTTGTGAAAAAATTAAAATTTAGTTTATGAACTATTTGGGGTAAATTATTTGGTACCTTTCTTAAAATATAACATTCCCCGCCTTTTTATAATAAATACTCAAAAAATGAACCAGAACTTTTGTTGTTCACATATTAATATAAATACAAAAGTAAGGCACTAAATGAATGTTCAATCACAAGATATGTATAGACAAAATGTTTGCAGACATCCCGGTCTAAAAGTATTAATTGACCATCCTACTGGTGGTACAACTTCTTCGGACCCTTACCTTATGGACGAGAGCGATCCCATGAAGTCAAATGCGATAAACAGTTCATTATGGGAGTTAAAAACACTTCAACATCATATGATTCCAAATGTCGCTTCAGCGGCACGCTTTATTGACAATCCCTTGCCGAAGGTCGAGTGGGACCTTAACGAGGCGCTTAATTCCACTAGTGACGACATATTCGATAAAGAATTGAAAAGGAATAGTAGACTTATCACATTAGCAATTAGTAAACCAAATCCGAACGAAATAGATAAGTTTGCACAGTTTTGGGAATTGTAAAATTGTACTATACTGACTTATTTTATGTATGTGTTTTGCTGTTCTGTTCTTCATTTTGTATTTTTGCCTGAAAGATTGTTTTTTTACAATTTAAATAATAGGTATGAAATGGACTGGTAGGTGAGGTATGTAAAAATAATACACATCGAATCAAAAAGTCTTATTCAGTTTGAAAAGTTCCAGTACATTCTTTGTTTTTGAGGCAAATGTTAGTAACAAGGCTCCTGGTGTTTAATGTAGTTAAAATACTTTCCTAATGAACAGTAAATGCCATTATTTGGGTTATAGATATGTTGCATTTTCGTCCTTTAAATCAGGAAAAAGTTTATTTTCGGGGGGGGGGGGAAAGTATGGTAAAAAGAGTATAGCGACCTCCCGAAATTTTGTCGTCCGAGAAGGAATGCTATAGTCTATTCTCTTGGTGCGCAAGATACTATTTTTTACATACCTGAATAAAGTCCCGATTTTTCTTGTTATATGTGTACTGCAACTAGGAATATCTCGATCGTGTAACCGTTCACTTGTTTACTAACAAAAAAAGGTCAGTTCTTTTGTCCTACACAGTACTATTTTTGGAGACAAATATATTTCTGTGGTAATACCAGTGTGATAGGTGCATTAAATTTTTAAGTTCTGTTGTTTTTATAAATTTTTAAATAAAATTGAAATATACACCTATGTTATTAACATTAAAAAAAGTAAGAATCGGCGATAAATAAAAAAGTTATTTGCTTTTCTCTAAAATTATTATTTTCTCAACAGAATATGCATTTACTGAACAAAATTTTAAATAATAGCCGTTTTATGGGAAACATTTAACGTATTTATTTTTTATGGATGTGATAATGAATAGAATGTATGAAATGTTCTGTTTCCCATTTTAACATGATCATAACAAATTGTATTTGCGTATTGTATTTTTGAATGGAGCGGAAAATCTCAAGCTGTGATGAAACAAAGTAATAAGTGAGAATTTCGTGTTGGAGATGGCGTTTGTGTGTATTTTTCTTTTCAAAACATTTACCTGCGCGTATTTACATTTTTGGGCACTCGTTGTGATATCTTTAACAATGTGTAGAATAAGAAAACGATTCCATCTCCCCTTCAACGCTTTTAATTTTAAGTTCTTCATTGCAAAAATAAGTGCACAACCTTAAATTAATGGTAAACATACCATGTAGAAGAAACTTTTTTTTTTTATTTAGGTGAATGTGGTAGCAATTTTTTGAATACTGATTATTTGTTTTTATCTAGTCATATAATATACCTACGCCTTCTCAAAAACAGCGGTTTGAAGAAAAATATTCTTTTCAATTGTTAACAAATATTTTTTTCTTGTTTTAGTACTTTCAATTTATTTTAAAACAAAAAATTAAATTAATTATCTAACCTGGGTATTCTATTGCTGTTAGTAGGGTTACATATTAATTTTTACTTGCAGCAAAGAGATTATTTTAATTTAAGTAGGTATATATTTGTTAACAAAAAATATAATCTTATTTTAGAATTTCACAAATAATTAGGTAATATACTTTCTTTGGAGCGTTTTTGGAACCCCTATAGCTGGGAAATATGGAGTGTATCATCAAAAATTTTAATGTTATTATCTTCAAATTCAAAAATATACGTAATAATAGCATAAATTATATTTGTATTATATGGAAATAAATTTAAGAAAATTTGGTAAAGTATTAAATGGGGCGATGAAACACTCTTTACAAACATAGCTGATAGGTACTTTAAAAACTCAGCTGAGAGTTAGTAATGGTCATGACTCAATAAGAGTTACATGTTTTTGGAAATATTATTTTTAAATTGCAATGTTCCATTGTAGTTTATCAATCTTATACTTTTACTTAAAATTCTTTTAAGTTGTATGATATTGAGTAAATTATGGTTTTGTTGGTTCTTGATTCTCAGCTGTTTGTTAATAAAGAGTGAAATAAATAGAAGGTACCTATGCATTCCTATTTTTGTATCCGTTTCATTTTTTGTTGCTAGGTTATAATGGTACTAATGTAAATAACATTTTCTTCTACGCACTCGCATAAATGATGCATAAGCTTGGCCATTTGTATTTTTACAAACTGAACAATTTTTTTGTGACTGTACGGACCAGGTTTATGTTTTTATATTACTATAATATGATTGTAATTATTATTACTATTGTATATTTAATTGTGCTTTGTTCAATATATGTTTAATGTAATTCACCAAACAATAAATATTGCTTTTATACCATGCTTTATTTGATTTTTTGAGATTCCCTCGTCGAACACTGAAAAAGTGTTTTTAGGGGAGGGTGAGGGGTGGAGGGAAACATTGATTTGGCAAGGCAAAATAGATGAAAAGGGGGTGAGCTTTAGAGCCCCCACAGATGAGACGCCGGGTTAAACTTTGATACTTAAATGATATGTATCCTTTTGGTTCATTTTGATAGAAAATGAGGAAAAGGGAGACAGGTGGAAAGAATACTTAGAGAAGCTATACGCAGGTCAAGAATTAGGAGATATACCCGAGAAAGAAGATAGTGTGGACATAGGTAACCACGTAATGAGAGAGGAGTTTGATGTAGCATTAAAAAACTTAAAGAATAATAAGGTAGCAGGTATAGATGGGATATAGACGGATATTTTAAATCATGCAGTACAAGAGGCTAGAGATCGTATGTATAGGTTAGTTAGTCACATTTACGAAATGGGAAGTCTCGGAGGATTATAGACGGAACGTGATAGTAACTATACCTAAAAAGAAAGGTGCTGGTTAGTTACAATTAGCTTAACTTCCCATGCGTCAAAAATCTACTTGAATCGTACAGAGAAGCATGAAGAAAGGGTAGAATAACTATTAGGGGAAGATCAATTTCGGTTTAGAAGAACACGGGACGCTATTCTAGCTTTACGGGTAACATTAGAGAAAACGATAGAAAAAGGAAAGAGTGCGTTGATAGGATTCGTAGGAATAAAAGAACAGAGGAAAAAAAAATAGGCGAGATAGGTTGGTAGAACACCTTCTTAGGCATAAAGGGTTAGTCAGAGACATTAAAAGCAGAAACAGGAGGAAAGACGAGTAGAAGTAGACCTACATTAGATTACTGTTCTTAAATAGTTAAGGATGTGGGTTGTTCTAGTTTTAGGAAAATGCAGGATAGGAAAGAGTAGAGGTGCGTGTCCAACCAGTCTTAGTACCGACGAGCTTATGATGATGATCATTATTTTTTCTAAGTTAAGAGGTTGGAGTGCGGGATTGATTATTCGGTGAAATGCTAACTACAAATAGGTGTACTGATCCCCTAAACATGAAACGCATTAACTTATTTTGAAGAAAAGAATTTCAAGAAATTTTAATCAAAGAGATATGTACTGGGAATGGTTTATTACACTTTTTTTGTACGTACATACTTAGTTACTTATGTATGTAATGATTTACAAATCCTTAATAAGGCAGTGATTAGTATCTCACCAACTTATTAAAATGATGATATGCAATTATCAAGCCAAGTTTTTTTAACAACACTTCGTTCATTTTGTTTAATATCACTTAATACATTATACCAGCTTAATAAATTGTAGAAAACGTTTCATTATTCAGCGTTTAGTTGTCTAGTATAATATGCAACTATATTTTTTTGCTATAAACACTTCGTGATATCACATGAAATTTTACCTGTTAATTATACGTATATTCATCAATTTCTAATAAAATATATAATTACAACTGAAAGCTTTGGTAAAAGCATAAAATATCTCTGCATTATTTTGTTTATATATAAAATTATAAGCATATTTTAAAAATTGGCCCAAATAGGTATGTTGACGTTTTACATCATCTACAGAATATGTTGATTGCAGGCTTTAACGACCGGTGTTGAATATAGGTGAGTTGTTGTCCGGGCTGATGGGCCGTAGTCTGTTAGATTGTTTTCCCAACAAAACATTGGGTCTGTTGGCAAAAAAACTCAACAGACCACGGCCCATCAGCCCGGATAACATCTCATCTATATCTACAGAATGCCCATTTTATCCTAAATAAAATAGTTAGGTAGGAAATACAAATTATTTCTATAAAATAACAATTTCTGATCGTCATTAAACAAGAAAACGTACTTAAAACGTCCTGTACAAATTATTCTAAATCTTAAGAAGAAAACAGGACTCATTTGAAAAGAATCAGTTTGTGCTTCAAAATGCATCAAAGTTTGCCTCTTTTTCGTACTTGTACAATTTTAGATGAGGCAAATGGAAAATTTGATAAATGTAACATAAAAACGAAATGTTATATTACAGTTGGTTTTTTTCATTGTTGTTGGTCTTCGTAATATTTTCATTGTCTTTTGATGGCAAAACTTTTACAGCGATTTCTGAACTTGCAGCATCAACTTTCATTCCAATATCATTCCACCACTGCCGGTCACCACTGCCGAATATAACGAATATTACAGTTGTTATTGCGAAAACTGCAAAAGTTATCCAAAACACCAATCTCCATTGTGTCACTGTGTTCTGGAAATAAATAAAAAACTTAATAGGAATAGAGTTAATAAGTTTTAATTTAGAAATTCGAAAACGACAGTTAAAGGTGTATGTCTGGAGTACCGTATACTATAGGTACTGAATGTGGTGTTACAGGCGAATTATGAGGTAGAGGAAGGTTCGATATGAGGAAGTATTAAAAAGAATAGGAAAACAGACGACACTAATATGGAAGTCAATACGAAGTAGGCGAGATAGATTGGTAGCACACCATTTCAGGCGTGAAGGGCTAATTAGATACTTATTAGAAGCAGAAATAGGAGTCAAGAGGAGTAGAAGAAGTAGACTAGATTAGATTACCGTTCACAATGAGTTAAGAATGTAGGATCTTCTAATTTTAAGGAAATACGAAGATTAGCTCAGGATAAGAAAAGGTGGAGGTGCGTATCCAGTTAGTCACAGGACTGACGACCTTATGACGATGATGGTGGTTAAGATGGATTATCATCAAATAATAGATCGTGTTACAGGCGAATGATGAGGATGTCGTGGATATAGACGGATAGAATTGAAGAGATTTAGAAAGAATAGGAGAATAGAGGACTCTACGGAAGTCAATAAAAAATAGGCGAGATAGGTTAGTAGAACACCTTGTCAGGCATGAAAGTCTAGCTAGACACATATTAGAGGCAGAAATAGAAGTTAAGAGGAGTAGAAGTAGACCTAGATTGGATTACTGTTCGCAAATAGTTAAAGATGTGGGATGTTCTAGTTTTTGGTAAAGGGAAAGATTAGTTCAGGATTGACGACCTTATGATGATGATGATGAATAGTTGATGCTATCCAACAGATAAGTTACGACTTCATCAGCATCAATCAATATGTCGAATCGATCACGCAGTAGATAAACATTAATAATACATAATTATTAGGCGTTGAGAATAAAACTGCACCATGCTAATGTGTCTAAAACACATCGTCACTAATAAAGGATAAAAAACAAGTAATCGTTGCTGCGCTATGCGATGAATCCTTATTGAGCAGAGGGCGACCAAGTACAACTTACAATTAATGATCCTTTTAGGGTTCGCACCGAACATTATGCGTTCCTATATGGTTATTGCTTCTACCTTTTGTCTTTTTGGAGCTTAGCTAATAGGATGACAAAACTGGTTAAAAAATCGAACACAAGACGTTCTTGTTTTTAATGAAAAAGAAAAGACTTACATCTTCTGTTAAAATACCGATGAGATATGGTGCAATTATTCCAGTAATTGCTCCTAACCCATTTTGGATTGCCATTATTGTCCCCGCGTAGTTTGGAGACAGATCCAAAGTGTTCACTTTCATTCCACAATAGAAAGTTCCCATAAAACCCATCGCTACGGTAAACATTATGACCGCTAACATTCTATCACAACCTGCATACGATGCGGCTAACATAAATATCCCTGGGCCAATAGCTCCTGTAAGAATAAAAATAATTTTAAGAGAAAAAACTGGAAAAAAAGAATCCAGTGTGGGTGCGACCCGGGAGGTCCAGACTATTATCTTCCCAATGAAAAGAGTAAAAATACCATATTATATTTTTATAGAAATCTTTTTAATATTCAGTAATAATAATATTATTCAAAAAATGTTTGGATTTTGCATTAAAAAATAATGCAATTTATAGATTGCAAGATTCAGCTAGTTTTCAACAAATAATAATCGAGACGAAAAATAATTTCGCAAGCATATTATACTTACACATACATCCACTTTAAAAACTATCGCATTCAACTCTAGGGGAGATAAGTCAAAATTTGGGATTCGCAAACTTGGGTGCATTATAATAACTTCCCACTAGGAATCTAAAGATATTGGACAGATGCGAGTTTGACTGACGTTCGAAATGTTTTTCCTGAGTTATTTTTTTTTTGTAAAACCTTTTACTTTTCCAATAACAATAATAAACTGAATTTGATGATGATGAGTTTCACAGAATAGAACAACTGGGGACTCTATGGAAGTCAATAAGAAATAGGCGAGATAGGTTAGTAGGACACCTTATCAGACATGAAGGGCTAGTCAGAGACATATAAGAGGCAGGAAAAGGAGTGAGTTAAGAGGAGTAGAAGTAGACCTAGATAGGAAAGAGTGGATGTGCGTGTCCAACAAGTCTTAGGACTGAGGATTTTATGGTGATGATGATGATGATGATGAGTTGGATAGGTAATTTTTACAAGATTGATAGGGTCCTGCTTGCATTTAAATTTTATTTAATTTAATTTTTAAAGAGAAGGGTGGAATGTTCTAATTGCATTTATACCTGTTTTCCTTAGTAAAATGAAAACGTAATTTTTTAGTCTTAGTCTCATCTGCTTGTTCTCTGCTTTTTAGTTATACCTATAATGTATTTAATAATTTAAACTTGATATTTTTACACCGTAGTCGGGTTTTCTAGTTTTTGTGTAACTACGTCATTAATATTAAATAGCATGGAAAGTACAGTTACTTATCGACTCACCCTGTATATTTGCAGCTAGAAATACTAAATGGCATTGACAATGGTTGAAGTTATTATTGCCCAAGAGTAAACTAAAGCTGACTCGTTAATTAATTAACTTACCAACGGCTGTATAGAATTTCCTGGCGAACGTGATTCCGGTGTAACCTTTGGTTATATGCCAATCACAGAACCATCCGAATACCATCGATACAATCCACATGACGACGTACGGCAATGATGACCATAAGCCGTTTTGAGTGACATTGAAGTTTAGTACGTCGCTCATGTACTTCGGCAAATCCGTGACCATGGCATAGTTACCCCAATCATGACCAATTTGGGCTGCTATCAAGGCCCACACCGGAACTGACGTTAAAATTTGTTTCCACGGAGTGTTTTGCGTTGTTGTAGTGGCCCCTTGATAAATAAATTCAAATATTACTTTTAGTATTTCAAATCATTATAGAAATGTAATAGAAATGAGGGTGAGGATTCACGGAACCTGTTTTGCTGAGGTTGGCCCAATTTGACACATCCCAAGTAAATTTTAATTTGAAGATAAATAGTCATATAAATTTATATAGTTTTGATTTAACCATAATAGCCACTAATTAATTATAATAATGAAACAACTCATTATATTAAAGAAACATTAATAATTATTACAAAATAGGGAAGAAGAAGATGATGGCTATTGATTGTTTTTAAGTAAACAGTAATCTGGTCTGGATCAACCTCTAATCCTCCTAATTCCTGTTTCTTCTAATATGTCTATTTGTTCCGGTTCATCAATTACATGTACAGTGTNTGTTCCGGTTCATCAATAACATGTACAGTGTATAAAACTTTTACTATTTAGAAATTTTAGACTGTTCCTGCTGTGCCTTTGAGCCATTGATAGACAGGCAGTTCCTTTAAATTTATGACGTATAGCTTTATGACAGTTGTCCCTCGATATTCGGGGCACACTGTAACGAATCTGATTAGTTTAGGATTGTAATTTTTGTATATAGCTCCAGAACCACTTACCCCTTGTATATAGTTAAAGTTTAAATACTTAGACATGTACTATATGGAGGGAATATTGATTCTTTAGTTATACCAGTAGAATATTGATAATTCAGTTGTACCAGTAGAATATTGATTCATCACTTAACCCAGTAAATATTAATTCATCTTTTAAACCAGTTAATTCAAATTCAGTTCTTATACCAGTACATTACCGATTAAGAACCAAGCACAACCAATTTTGTTAAACCAATAAACCGATAAACCAAGTTTGTGTTCTTATCATTTCATCTAACTAACTACGCAAATTTAATTAGGCGCGTAGTTCGTCTAAATCAAGACGGGACATTACATTATTGATTTCCATAGAGCCCTAGGTTCTCCTATTCTTTCTAATACCTCTTCATTTCTAATATTCTCCATCCATAGTATTCTCATTATTTGCCTGTAACACCACATTTCGAACTCTTCTAACCTTTTATTTTCCGCAGCACCCACCGTCCATGTTTCAATCATTTTCTAAGTTTCATATATATGCTCTTTTTTTTAGTTATTATCTCTTACTGACTACTGGCGTTATTGTCGTTGTTATAGGAGTTACAATTAGTTTTTCAAACACTTCTGCTTTTGGTAAAAAAAATAATTCAGTTATCGAGTATTTAGTTTTAAAACTAAATTAAGGTTTTGCAAGAACGTTTCAGATGTGGATCGCGATTTTGATTTCATTAGATCTGATCAGCGCGCCATAAGCACTCTTGATAAATCACAATAACAAGACGATCTTTATAGAAAATGTTGTTCCAAAAATATTTTGTCTTTTGAAGATATTTGGAAAAGCACTTATATCTTTTGAAAACGATATTCTGGATATATTAAATAATATCTAGATATTAGTGATTACAACGATTAATTGTGGTAGGTAAAGCGTTATTATTTTCATTGTCTTGGATTTAGGCTTGCTCAGACCTCAAAAGCACGAGTAATTCCTAGACTCCACTTTTAGTTACCTTCCCTCTAGCGGTTCAATGGAAAACATCCAGAGTATTCTAGGAGCGCCGGACAGTGGCAGGATGGGAATTGCACTTTCCACATGCTCCTCACAAAAGCGACAAGAACAACTGATGGTTATTCCCAGTTTGTACCTATGGCAGCGCAGTTCTCTGTGGTCTGTAAAGATTTCCATTAGTATCTTGGCTTTTCTTCCGCCAGGACTGAGAATTTGTTTTTCCCACTCTTTGAGGTGTGTAGAAGAGATGCATGCCTACATCTTTGTTGTGTTCCTCAGCTCTTACAGAGTTCTGGAGCGGCCCATCTCGCATTTTCTTGCTTCATCAATCCTTCATAGTGTGTTTTGGTCCGATAAAACTTTAGCCAGTTCATTTTCTAGCTCGTCTCCCTTTATGTCGCTATGGTCCGGGACCCACAGAAACCACCTTGTTTTGAGTTAACAGTCTGATGGTAATCCTCCAACAGTTTCGACTTTATTGAGTAGGTACCCTCTGAGGGCACTTTTACAGTTATCAGTAAGCAAAAGAAGCAATGGTCATTATCACCTCAAACGGAGTGGTAAACTGACTAAGTGGTACTGAAACTTGCTTCCGGTTTGGCGGTTGTAAACACCGATTCCACTCTTCTCTTTGTTTCTGGACCCATCCGTGAACTGTACGCATAAGAGATGGAGACCTTTTCCGAAGAGCAGTCCTCTTTAAAATAGAGGTTGTGTTATTTTCAAAGGGAAGAGGGTCTTTGTGCGGCCAGGGGGCATCTCAAGAATTTCTCCCGTGATCACAATTTAAGTGGATATGTGGAAGCAGTATCGCATCATTTATTTCAAATACTCAATGGTTATCATTAGATTATAGACGTTATTTAAAAATAACATTTGACTGAAGGGTTTTACTAATTCAACTGGTATTTTCAATTTATTAATTAGTTGAGTTAAAGTACACTAACTTGGAGTTGTTATTTTAATGGTAAATATTAGTGAAAATCAAATGATTTATTTTTAGATAGCCTATAGACTTTAAGGTCTATCTTGAATATGCCTTAACCAAGAAGCGAAACAACTAAATTGGTTTACCCTCATTTTGACTTGATTCTTATATATAAAACGGATATAAATGGAAATTTTTAAATAGTATTGTTTTAAGAAGAAAGAGCGAATATAAAGATAGGAGGAAAGATTAAAAGTAGTGACTGATTTTAGGTATCCAGGAAATCAGATAAGTCAGGACAGAAGGAGTAGTAGGGATAAGAAAAGGTTAGAAGCGTTCGAAATATGGTGTTACTGGTGAATGATGAAGATACCGTGGATAGAGAAGGTTAGAACAGAGGACTCTATGAAAGTCAATAAAAAATAGGCGAGATAGGTTGATAGTCTTAGGACTGACGACCTTACGATGATGATGATGATTGTTTTAATATGAGATATTTAAGAGAAATATTATAAAAGCGCAAAAAGCAATTTATTTTATTGCGGGTTTACATATAAGTTAGATTACATCTCCTTTCTTATTTTAGGATTATGATAAAATTATTATCCATTACAATTATAAAAGCTTCACTGTAACGTTTCTCAAGACTGAAACTGTATTATTTTGATGCATTGTCGCAGAGCACCTTAAAACGGTATTTTTATCTTATGAAACGATATCTAAATTAGCTTTTAATTATCAATAAAAGAAGATATCATTTTTTATAATCGGGTTACGATAAAACCACTTTCCGATACAATTATTATTGAAAGCTTAACGGCAATGCTTTTCAAGATTAGATCAATATCCCGTAAAGCCACGGGGCCCACTTAGGGAAGTCAGTATTAACAAAGATTACTATTTACTTTATAACTGACAAATTTTAGTGGTTCGGTTTAATTTCAAGGCGTAGTTTCTAAGTGGAGGACTTTTAGTTGACAGGTCTGACGTTATAAAAGTAATTTTCTTGTGGAGATAATACAGTTTATATAAGTACAATGCGTGCATCACATGTTATAACAATTTGGATCGATCACATTTGGAAGATGATTCTAATTAATTTATCGAAGGTCTTTTATTAGAATAATAAATTTTGTTTTATACGCGTCAATGCAGATGATCATTCTTTTTTATTGTTTTATTTTTCTTTCAATTTTTCGCACCTCTTTTACTAAGAACTTTGGATTATAGGTATTTAACAGGTCAATTGAAAAGTCCCCGGCCTAAAATAGTAAAACACATTTTTTTTGCAAAATTCGTTTTTTTTATTCAACATAATTCCCTTCAAGGGTGATACACTGATTATAGCGATCCTCCAACTTTTCGATACCATTTTTGTAGTACGATTTGTCCTTTGCTTCAAAATAGGCCTCAGTTTCGGCGATCACCTCTTCATTCGACGAAAATTTTTTCCCAACGAGCATTCTTTTGAGATCTGAGAACAGGAAGTAGTCGCTGGGGGCCAGATCTGGAGAATACGGTGGATGCGGAAGCAATTCGAAGCCCAATTCATGAATTTTTGCCATCGTTTTCACTGACTTGTGAGACGGTGCATTGTCTTGGTGAAGCAGGACTTTCTTTTTCTGCAAATGCGGTCGTTTCTCGGCGATTTCGTCCTTCAAACGGTCCAATAACGCTATGTAATAGTCGCTGTTGATGGTCCTTCCTTTTTCAAGGTAGTCAATGAAAATTATTCCACGCGCATCCCAAAATACAGACGCCATAACCTTGCCAGCCGACTGTTGCGTTTTTGCACGCTTTGGAGCGGGTTCATCGTGTGCAGTCCACTCCGATGACTGTCGATTGGACTTCGGAGTGAAATGATGGAGCCATGTTTCATCCATTGTCACATATCGACGCAAAAACTCGGGTTTATTACGCGTGATCATCTTCAAACACTGCTCTGAATCATCAACTCGTCGTTGTTTTTGGTCAAAAGTGAGCTCGCGCGGCACCCACTTTGCACAGAGCTTTCTCATACCCAAATATTCGTGAATGATGTGATGTATACGTTCCGTTGATATCTGTAGAGTGTCTGCTATTTCATTCAATTTCAATTTACGGTCATTCAAAATCATTTTGTGGATTTTTTTAATGTTTTCGTCCGTAACAGCCTCTTTTGGGCGTCCACTGCGTTCACCGTCTTCGGTGCTCATTTCACCACGTCTAAACTTAGCATACCAATCCTTGATGGTTGATTTTCCTGGGGCAGTGTCCGGAAATTCGTTATCAAGCCAAGTTTTTGCTTCAACTGTATTTTTTCCCTTCAAAAAGCAATATTTTATCAACACGCGAAATTCCTTTTTATCCATTTTTTTCACAATAACAAAAGTTGCTTCACTAAAAATGCTATAATTCACAAACTAATGATCCGACAGCCGTCAAATTTATAGACGCGTCTTTTGAAGGTTAGGACTAACTGAAAATCATATGGATTTAGTTCTGGTGCCGCCATCTATGTGTCAGGCCGGGGACTTTTCAATTGACCCTAGTATTAGCACACCACAATATCTTGCAGTTTTGAATTTTACACAGCTGACATATATCAATTCGATATTGTTTTGCGGGCTGTTTTGTCGTAATTGATAGAATTTCGTAGTTCTTTGCTAAAGGTACGATAAGTGGTGATATCAATTTGGAACTTTAAAATTCCATGGACCATAACATTGAACCCGGAAAGCAATATCGATCAAATATTTTGGATTACACATTTCCAAGGAATTTAAAATTGTTTGGGCCCTCTTCAGTTAATGAGTTAGAAGGCATTCGTGCAATGTTCCCTTTTTAAGTTTCTAATACCTTCAAAGGCCAATGTGAGCATTCATTCATCATTTTATATAATGTTTGGTCGGTGATCTTTTAACGGCAAAAATGTATTTTGTATTTTACAAATAGAAAATACGTTTGGAAAAGTATTTTAAATAAAATACAAAATGCTTTTCTCAAAAAATAGGTATTTTTTATTTTGTGTTTGCATTCTCAATGCAATTATTTTAAATAAATCACATCTCTGGTCGAGACCCACAATTGTTTTCTTCTGTATGAAGGTAGGTACAATATGCCCTTTTCCGTACCTCTGACAATGTGTGCATAAAATTTCATGATGACCAGAGAAGCTAACAAACAAACAAAGAAAACACATTCGCATGTATAATACCGGTAAAAACTGTCAAACGAGGGAAGTTATAAAATAGTTGTTAAGATTTCTGAAATTATCCAATTTTCCGCCCAATTTTCTTAATTTTAGTTTCCGAAAAAAAAAAGATGAATGGAATCGGTGAAGTCGTTCTCGAGTTATGATGTGACCAAAGGAAACAGGGATTAATTTTTATATAAATACATAGTAGGGTGCTTCAAACAAAATTTTTAATTTTTATTTTCTAACTCTTACCCCCTTAAATGTTTCTATTTGATGTAAAAAAAATCGTCGCTAAACATGAGCCCTATAGCTCAAATCTAAGGGGTCGCTATTTTTATTTCATTTTCCCATTTAATTAACATAGGAAAAATTCTTTTTTGTTTTAAATTGAATTTACACATAATTTACGCAATTTTTTCCAAAAAAACCATTTTATATTCTCAAAGTTGAGTGATTGAACTCTACAAAACTCTAAGACAAAGTATGATTATCTTTACAAAAAGACTAGTTACAGCCATTTAAAAATTACTAAATTTTGAAATTTGAAAAAATAGCTTGTAATTATTTTTTTTGCATAATCCTCAAAATTTTTAATCAAACTATTAGTCAGTATTGTATTTT